CCGCTTAAGATTTCTGCTCCTGCAGAAATGTCAAGAGTTTTCAATAGAAGAGCTTGATATTCGCTAGACTTCAGTTGGCGAATCATGGTCAAGGTTAAGCGTTGAGTAGTGAAGATTCGTTGGACTCCTAAGTTTTCAAAGAGGTGATAAACTCGAATAGCAGTTCGGTAATAATGTTTCGTAAGCGTTGCCATTTGTAGCGTTCGTTGAGCAGGAGAAGTAGTCGCGGCATCAATAAGTTGACCTAAATAATAAGCATTTACAAGAGACAAAGAACGATTCCTCATACGTGTAGAGCGAAGTAAAGTTTGATATGTCAATTGCACTTTTTGTGTTAACGTTGCGTCATTTTGATAAGGTGGCGTCATTGGTTGAATTTCTTCATCGGAGAGGGTTATAGAATCTTGAAGTTCTTTTAAGATAATTTCACTATTAATTGATTCCATTATCACAGCGGTCCAAAAGGTATTATAATAATAACATATACTATTTATAATAAGTTTTAATGTCGATCCTCATTCGATGATAATCTGTGGCTCCCATTCGGTCCGTTCTAAATATGGTTTTAAAAGATCTGCATGTGTGGGGTTCTTTCTAACTCGTCCATCTAAAGTACGAAGTTTATAAGTACCAGGTCTCACAATGTTATGAATATAGAAAGGTCCATCAAATTTATCTTTAAATTTGTCTCCATGAATATGTGATTGTGTTACGTTAAACAATAAAACTTTATCTCCAATTTGATAAGAAATTCCAGGTCGATCCTTATTGTAACGTTCCTGTTGCTGTTGTTGTCGTTGCATTATATTCTGTTGTGCATCTAAGCGTCGTTGTTGTAATTGCGATGTGATTATCTGTTGATGCTTTTCCATAGCATTTGATAGGTTACTGATAGGAGAAGGTCGTCGCAATTGTAAATCTATTGGTAGAACTGCTTTGCGTCCATATAATAATTCAAATGGCTCAAATTTCGTCGTTCCTTGCTGTGCTGTACGATATGCGAAAAGTGCTGAAGTTAAATACGTATCCCATTCTCCATGGTATTGTTCAGCATACTTTGCTAAAATTGTATATAATGTTCTATTAAAACGCTCTGTCAAGCCATTAGTTTGAGGGTGATACGGCGAAGATAATCTATGCTTAGTTCCAACTATATGCAATAGTGCAGTAATTAATTCATTTTGGAACGACGTTGCTCTATCGGTTAATATCTCTTTTGGCGTTCCGTGTTGACAGATGATTTCATTGTACATAAATTGCGCAGTTGTTTAAGCAGTACAATCTAGTGTAGTGCTAGCTTCAACCCATTTAGTCAAATACTCAGTTGCTATAATGATATACCGATTTCCTTTAGTAGTACGTGGTAGTGGTCCTACATAATCAATTCTTACACAATCGAATGGTTGTCCAACAGGTATGGGATGCAGAGGTTCCTTGGGTTTCGGCCTTCCTTGTCGTTGGCATACATCACATGTTTGTATCCAATTTTCAATAGTTTTATACATACTTGGCCAATAATATCGAGAAGCAATTTTATTATATGTAATATCCCTTGCTAAATGACCTCCTAAAGGTTCATTATGGATATTATGTAAAATACGTTCGACTTCATTTGATTTTACTACAAGTAAGGGTTGGGCAGATTGTTTTTGATTATGTCTATAAAGTTGTTGGTTTTGTACGAAATAATGTTGTGCTTGTTTTTGAATTGCGAGTTGTTGTGAAGGGGTAAGGTTTGGAGGGTATGTAAGTTGGGTAAGATATTGAAATAATTGATGATAGGTTTCGAATTCCATGTTGTTGAGCTGCTAGTCACACTGCTAGCACTTTCGCTTTCACTCTAAAAATTCTAATTAATAATTAATTTACTGTAAAGGAAGTCGAGACAATGCGTCTGCGTTTGAGTGTAATTTTCCTTTTTTATATCGAATCTGATAAGGG